CAAGATAAAGTAGGTCATCTTTAGTGTCTTTCTGGTCAGCAGCAGGTTTGCTCAGCCTTGCATGGCATTTTGCTCATTTCATGCCACGAGTGGACACTGGGAGGGAGGAGGAGTGTGAACCTCCAGCATGAACCTGGTGATTCTATTTCAAAAGAGCTGGCTTCCAGGCCCATAAGGAAACATCCTAGCTTTGTATACTTTTCAAAGAGACAGAGAAAAACCTTGCTTTCTAGAGTGATTACTGACAGAAAGGGAGGGGAGGAAGTCCCCTCCTTATTTTTACTTTCTGTTTGCCCTTTCAAAAAGCCAACCATTGAAAACCTTATGAAACATCCTTTTGTGCAACACCTGGGGCTGCCATATTTCAGATTCAACTTGATTCATTGGTTTGTTTTTCAGTCTTAAAAAAAAGTGTGTCTGTGTGATAGTATAACACATGCACATCTATTCTGGAAATACAGGAAAACATAAAATCATGACTAGAGAAAGGGGGAAAGCCCTCACAGGCTGCTGTGGGTACAGTTTTGGTGAGTTTCTTCCAGCATTTCTTCAGTCTGGGAACACGCACAGCACGGACCTCAAACAATTACTTGGGAAGTATACAGCTGTGTTCTCTGTCTCGTCTTGGAGGCATGGACAGTGCTGTGTCAGAACCTCTGTAAAGAGTTTATTTGCTTGTTTGCAAAGACAGGAATGTCCCGAACAAGGACATGGGGGCAGTCAGGTGGGAGGAGAAAGCAACACGAGGTCATTTGTGAGGAACCTCAGTGTTGGGCGCAATGTGCTGCTCTTTTGCTTTTGAAGGACTGGCCCGACCTAGAATCAATAGTGTAATAGTTTGCTTTGCTTTCACTACTGAAGGAAAGAATTCTTTAGGGGGAGAAATGGAGAGAGGTGGTGGATTCAGTTTCCACCTCAGTGACCCAGTTTAGGGAGTGATTTTCACACCTTTATACCCTTGTTTATTTATTTAGCCTAGGTGATTTGTTTCTTTTTGGAGGGGGTGAGGGAGTAGGTATGGGCTAAATCAGTTAAGAGCAGCTTCATTTTTGTCGTCTCTTCATCTGTGTATGTATGCCCCAGAGACTTGCTGTGCCAGAGACTCAGATGTGGATGAGAAGTCACTACGTGAACTTTTACATTTTCATTCCATCTTAATTAAAGGCTGTTGGTCTGAATGCTGCTGAATCGAATGTAAGCTGGAATCTCAGTTGGTTTTTTTTTCCTCTTGCTGTGCCACCTTCTCTTAATGATAGCAAGACAGGAAAAGCCTATCAAATTTCAAAACAATGGAATAGAAAAGGAACAAGCAGGTCATCCAACTGAGCAAGGAGAAAGCAGTGAACAGATATTGGAAAGTTACTACCAAAAGACATTTATTCAAAATACCTCTGCGTTTAATATAAATAAAAGATTGTATCAAAAACAATATGCAAGCAAGAAACACAGTGTATGTGAATAATAAAAATACCAATTTAAAAAAACTAAGAAAAAGTCTGAGGATGAGTCTACCTACTTTTTTTCTATATTTGTCCAAGCAGAGACCATTATATCAGGCCAGAGTTTGATGCAGAATCAACCAGGCCTGCTCACAGCCTGGAGGACTTTGGGGTTTTCAAAATTATCTTGTGGTGGAAGAGAGTCTAGAATCCAGGCTTAGCTGGAAGCCCTCTGGCCCACGGACCCTGCTCCTTTGAGCCTAGGTCAGCTCAGTGTAGCCGGCTAACACCTTTATTTTTGGAAACTGTTGTAAAGCCTCTATAATTGAGAGCAAGGTCATCCTATGCTTAGTCCTTATCCCTTGTTTTCTGCACAGATCGCCTTGTTGCTTCATGAAGCTCAGCCCTGGTTTGTGTAAGAGATGTTGCCTATAGGACTCGTGGAGGCATGAAGGACATTCTAGAGAAAAAGAACTGAGTGCAGTTTACAGATGTTCTATTTGAAGGAATAAGAGAGCAAAGAGTTCAAAGATTCAAATGCAGAAGTGCCCTGGTATAATCAGCCCTCTCGATTGCTTTTGGTATCTCTTATCCTTGGAAGGTGAATGTTATCACCCTAGGAAGCAGTGTTAAGGTAGGAAGAATGAACGTGGGATCCAGATTTCCAACCAGTGTACCACAGAGCATTAAACTAAAATTTCTAAAATATTAAAAAAGTAAAGATTTTTAAAATCCTTGATAATTTATAACTGCATTAATGTAAATTCAATTCTTTTCAGAACACTGTAGTATTAGTCTTTATTGCATGTTTGCTTTTTGAAAATGAGTAACATGCCTGTGATGTCATTATTTATGAGGATTCTATTAACCACAATATTTAATTAAAAGAAGCATCTCATTCCTCTGTCATGATGAGTAACCAAGACTGCATATGGACAGAGAACAGGACTGTGTTTGGCTTATGGCTTTAATTTACCTAGTTTATTAAATTATTAAACTTGTTGAATTTTTATTGGCTTTCAAGTTAAATTGGTAGGGAGGCTAATGGGAAAGTGTGGCGTTGAGACTGTGGTGTTTTGCCGTTGACTTGATTCCAACTCAGCAGACCCTTCAACACTGCCAGAGTAGATCAGCCCCTGGTGGTTTGAGGCCGTGATCTTGATGGAGCCTGGTCTTTTGTTCGAGGAAACTGCTGGGTGAGTTTGAACAGCAGACGTTGGCCTTGGGGTTAACTGTTAAGTGATTAACTGAGATGGATTGACATAGTCTGTGCAAAGGTGGGTTTATGTTTAGCAGCAATATAAGGATGACGGACACAGACAGATGCAGGTCAGGCAGTGCTTCGTTCTCTGTGCAAAGGTGGGTTTACTTTTAGCAGCAGTTGTAAAGATAAGACGCAGGTCAGGCAGTGCTTTGTTCTCTTGTATGCTGGGTCGCTGTGAGTCACAGCCCACTTGGCACCTACCTACAACAATAGTGTTCCGAATTATTGCTGGCATCTTTAAACCCAAAACAAACCAACAAAAAATAATGAAGAAAAAAAGGAAGTGACAAATATCATAGAAGTGGAAAAAGGGGGAAGTCTGGCGAGGAGGAGAGAAGAGGGGAAAGGACAGAGGTTCCTGCATGTGCGCAGGGAAGGAGCCATCTTTGGGACGGACGCCTGAGAAGAAGACTGGGAACTGATGCTTCATGGGGCTGTTGGAGGGGAAGTCAGCTCAGACAACCCTAGGAATGGAAGAAGGGGCTCAAGCATACTTGATGGTGCAGAATCCTCCCAGGCACTGGGAAGATGCTGAAGCAGCCTACTCAGAAACCTTAAATCCACCTTCTATCCATGGCAGAAAATAAATCCAAGGGAACTCAGGTGGCCCACTGGGCAAGGAGTTGTCCTGCAACCCAAAGGCATGTGGTTCGAATCCACTAACTGCTCCACAAGGAAAAGATGGTCATTTCCTCCCGTGCAACTTACCACCTCTGACCGCTAGAGTTACCTGTCGCTTGGATCCAACTTGAAAACACATAGCAAGAACAACATCATCCATGGCAGACAGTGAATCCAAACTTTATTGATAAATTGCCTTTAACTAACAGAAGTGGATTTTCTTACCGTGTAGGAGGCTAGAAGTCCAAATTCAGGTCTGTGTGGGCTCTGGGGAAGGCCTTTGTCCTATCTCCTTTACCCCTGAGGCCGCGGTGTCCCTAGGAGATCTATGTTTCTTGGCTTCAGTCTTCCCAGAGCTAAGAGTCAAAGAGGCTCTCAGAGTAGGGACTCTGGATCCTTGCTTTACTCCCAGATCATTCCAGGTGTTACTGAGGGCCCGCCTGTGACAGAAACTTTAATTGCCAGCCATATGACCAGAAATCTATGTGTTTGGGTCAAGTATTCTTTCTTTTAATAACTGTAACAATATTTAAGAAGAAAAAATAACACAGGCTCCAGGGGCCTGCATTTTAGATCACATAACGGATCTCTGGTCTTCCCCTTACCCTGTGCCATTTGCTCTGCGGGAAGAAGAATGGGAGTGCCAAGTGAAATACCCGAGCAGGACCAAGTCGATTTGCCCTGAATCCCACTTCCTCTTCCTGGCAAATTTCTTCATCTCTTTCATTTTATATAGGAAGCTCTAATGGCATAGTCTGTAGGGACTGTAGCACTGATGACCCAACAGCATGACCTCTCCAGTGGTTTAAATTCACCAGCAGCTGTTTGGGAAAGATGGGCATTCTTCTGTATGATTTACAGCCTCAGCAGGTCAGTTCTGACTTGATGGCAGTGAGCTTGAGTTTGTGTTTTCTTTGAGATTGTATCCTCATGATTCTTAACTTGGAGATTCACCACCCCTACTCTGAAAGGACCCGTTATCCGACATCAGATGGGCATGAAGTAACTGAACACAGAAGCCCCACATCCAGAATCCAAAGTTTAGCATTTCTGCAGTCCATGGAGCTTCTCCTAGAAACAGAGCTTACATCTGTAGTCCAAGTGAACACTGCTGCAGATAGACTGACAGCTGGTCCCTGGAGGTCATGGCACACCATCCTTGGCTGTCCGGCCTCAGGGCTCTACACCTGGTGCTGCCTCCTCCCTTCAGTTCTCTTTGTAACTGATCTAACCAACAGTGGTGCCAGGGTAGTCAGTTTGAAAGCTGCTAACGCCAGCAACTGAGATTAGAGCTGGTTTGTCCTTTGTCATGCTGGGACTAACCCTACAGTTGAAATGCAGAAGCTGCTGCCACCTGAAGATTTTAACTGCTGGCCAGGTCAGGCGTCCAGAGACACGGCACTGTAGCTCCCTCTGGTGGTCATCCCCGGAAGCCTACCTTTGTTTCTTATGGAAAGTTGGCATTTCTTTCAGTTTTTCTTCTGGAATCTAACTTCTGTCTCTCCTCTTTTAATTTTACTTTTTTTCCTTCTGAAGAGGAATCTACCTGGCTAACCTTGTTTGAGCCAGCTCTTCAAGGGGAATGAGGATGATGCTGTCAGCTGGGGATTTTTTTTTTCTTTTTTACTGTGTATTTAATGTTTCTTGTCTTTTCTTTCTCCTCTCCTCTGTAAAAGACTACTATAGCCCAGCAATGCTAGGTCTGAAAACGGACCAGGAAGTGCTGGGTGAGCTTGTAAGGATGAAGATCCCAGCCGTGGCGGACCTGATGGAGGGGCACGGTGTGCTGTGGACCTTGGTGGTGTCCCGCTGGTTCATCTGCTTGTTCATTGACATCCTACCTGTCGAGGTGAGAGAGCATGTGGATCAGAGATGCCCTTGGGATTTAAACTGTAGTGCTAGTCGCCGACCACACTGTAGCTGAATGAGTGATATTTCCCCCCCTGTTGAACATCTCGCTTTCTACAGACCGTGCTTCGAATTTGGGACTGCTTATTCAACGAAGGCTCAAAAGTTATCTTCCGGGTGGCCTTGACCTTGATTAAACAACATCAAGCCTTTATTTTGGAAGCCACCAACTTTGCAGACATTTGTGATAAGTTTAAGCAGATCACAAAGGGGGATTTTGTAACAGAGTGTCACACATTTATGCAGGTGAGTATCTACCTTATTCCTACCCTGTATGCCTGGAAGTCATACCAGGCTTCAGGGCCTACATATTTGGTCATCATTTGAGATCTTTAATGGATTCCCCTGGCTAGTGCAAACAGTTAACTCACCTGGCTGCTAATCAAAAAGTTGCAGGTTTGAGTCTGCTCAGAGGCGCCATGAGGGAAAGGCCTACATTGGAAAGCCTCGCCATTGACAGGCTGTAGAGCATGGTTCTGCTCCGAAATACGGTGTCACTGGGAGTCGGAGTCCATTTGGTGGGAACTGGTGTGTGGTACTTAGTACCTGGCACCTCCTGGTGGAGTGTCCTGGTATTCCCTATCTGCCTGCCTTGCTCAGCACTATTTTCTTGTGGGCCTCTGTCTGAGCCCTGGGTTCCTCCCACTGCCCTGGGGGTGTTCACGCCCACATTCCCCTCCCCTCTCCAGAGATCCTCTAGAATGGACCCTAAACCTTTTCCAGCCTCCTGTGTTCTCTGAGCTCTGGGGACAGCTGGAGTCTGTGAATCCTTGCATGGTTTCCTGGAGATGCTCTCAAGTCGGCCTTAGACTGCTGAGGGACTTGCCACGTGACAGACTGCAGTTCATCTCTTGCTGCCCCAAGTCACACTGTGACCTTCTCGGGATACCTGCAGAGCCAGCATGACAGTCACCAGAGGGTGGGGTGGAACACAAATTGTCCTGACACTTTGCTCATAAAAGGCTTAGAGTAGAGGGGAAGAAGCAGAAGCTATAGGATCAGTGAAATTTCTGGAGGTTTTTTTCTTTATCATGCTCTAGTTCCATAGTGAGAAAGCTCTGGGCGTAACCCTTAGGGCTTGGGCTGCTAACCCAAAGGTCAAACCTTCTCTGGCCACTTGAACCCACCAGTGGCTCCCAGGGAGGAAAATGCACAATCCCTTCCCATGCAAATTACAGCCTCTGAAATCCAACAGAGGGTCAAGTATGAGAGTTGGAACTGACCTGACAGCAATGAGAGTTTCTCAGTGAACGCATGATGCGTTTTATCTTTTTCAAAATAATGATGGAATTAAAGGAAGTAGCAAAAATGTTAGAGACCCTTGTTACTTGTACCCTTTCCCCCAGTGATGACATCTTAGATGCCTAAAGGCGATTCTTCCAAACTCCTACAGGGAGAAGGAAGTCCCTCGCTGGAAAGACAACCTTGAATTGGTTAAGAGGGGAAGCTGGTAGAGAGGCAAGGAGGAAGCTGTCTGCTGTTTGGGTTGTCTTCCTTCATCAGTTCGTCTCACCAGAAAGACAGGCCCTCAGCTCCCTGTTAAGGGACTGAAGAACAGACAAATGAAAAGGGTCATTTCACTTTCTCCACTTTTCCTGTAAGACCCTCAGTGAGGTGGACTGACAGAGACTGCAGCCATGAGCTTAAGCCCAGCAGAGATTGTGAAAGGTGGCGCAGGATTGGGCTGAGTTCTGTTCTGTTCCGCTCAGGGTCGCTTTGAGTCGGAGCCCACTGGAGGGCACCTGACTACGGCAGTTTCTCACAGGAATCTCACAGGAGTTTCACGTGGTTAAACATTGGGCTGTTATTTGAAAGGTCGCTGGTTCAAGTTCATCGTTGGAAGGAAGACTTGATCTCCTTCCCCAAATCCACCCTTGAAACCTGAAGAAGCCCAGTTCGGACACATACAGTGTTGCCTTGGGTTTAGTGACATATGTTTGGTAGCAATTGGCTTTAGCTTTTTGTCGGACCTGGGAGGTAACAACAGTGTGTGATTAGAGGCTCGGGGCCTTGCTGCTGCTTCTCTCTACCTTGGACCCTTCTTCCAGCTCTTCACGTAATTGGCTGCCCAGCTTTCTGGTCTCAGAGAAGATCCTGGTTACCTTGTTTAAATTAGCTCTCTACTATTCTTGTTTGCACTGTTGTTCTGTGTACCATAGCTGACCCTCCAGCAGGTTCTCAGAGGCAGTAATTTAATGGGAGGAGCCATTAATTTAATGGAGCTGCTAGTGGATTCAGATTGTGTACCTTTGGGATAGCAGCACAGCTTCTTACCACAGGCCATGCAACCTCCCTTCTTTGCATTGTTTTTATTGTTGTGGTTGTTGTTGTGTACCATTGACTCAGAACTGCCCCATAGCTGACTCTCCAGCAGGTTTTCAGAAGCATTTAATTGCAGCAGAGCTTCTTACCGTTAGGCCATCAGAACTCCCTAGACAACAATTAGTACCTTCCTAGAGAGCATAGAATTGTACTTATCAATTATCAGTCTAAGGAACTCTGGTGGTGTAGTGGGTAAGGAGTAGCACTGTCAACCCAAAGGCAGGCAGTTTGGATCCACCAGCTGCTCCATAGGAGAAATAGGCAGGCTCCTCCTGTGTGTTTCAGAGGCAGGCACCCTGCGGAGGGTCAGCTGTGAATCAGTTCTGACTCGGCAGCATGTAACAATAACATCTACCTGGTTATTGTTGTTATGAACCATCAAATAAGAACTGACCCAAATTTGACTGTCCAGAGGGGTTTTAGAGGTAGTAAATCACATGTGTGAAGATTGTCCACCTTCTCACAGAGCAGCTGATGGATTTGAACTATGTGCTTTGCATTGACAGTGCCACTCCTTACCACTAAGCTATCAGACTTACGTATCTGGCTGGACACTCACACACACATACTCCACTTCTCTCACTATTGTGAAATTATAGCCAACTTGCAGCTGGCTCTCACTGGATTTGCAGACTGAAGATTGGCCATCTTTTTCCTGTCATGCTCCTGGTGGATTCCGACCAGCAGAAAGGCACCACCTCTGAGTTTGCAGTGCAGCTCTCTCTAGACTCCATCTTACTGGGTGGTACAAATGTTAGTCGCTAGACAGTGAGGGGGAAAGGCTAGTGGCTTGAACCCACCCAGAGGGGCCTTAGAAGCACCTGGCAGTCCACTTCTGAAACATCACAACCTTGGAACCTTGTACAACCAAGGTCAGCATGAGTTACAAGGGATGCCACTGCAACAGATTGGTTGAAACTGGTGTATTGTCTGTCTAGCCTGGAAGAAAGGTTCCCTGCGGGTAGGGCTGCTTGAGGAGTGAGGTCCCAAGAATGTTACTTAGCATTCAACAGCCTGGAGCAAAAGCAGCTCAGGAAGCCTCAGGGGCCTGTGCAGGCAGAGCTAGGCCATAAAGGGCAGGCTTGAACTGGACAAGTGGGGAGCGCATACTACAAGCATGTTGTCAGGGTGTATCAGTCCGCAGGAAAAGTCATGATGCTGGGAAAAGTGGAAGGTCAGAGAAAGAGAAGAACCTTGTGAGCTGGATTGAGACATGGTTGCAGCAGGGGGCCTGAGTGTGGCTGAGTTGGTGAGGACTGGGCAAGGTCTTGATCTCTTATTTATAGTGTGAGTTGACATCTTGACGGCCCCTAAGAAAACAAGTGGGGAGAAGGGAGCGCTGGTGGCTTAGTCTGTGGAGAGTTAACCCAAAGGCCGCACCTCTCTGGTGGACTCCTGAGGTTACAACTTCCGAACCCAGCTGTGCATCAGGTCTGACTTGAGGCAGTGAATTTGAGTTTAAATGGGGAGATGTTAGGGAATTCAGGTACAAATTACAAATCTAATATAATTTGTCAAAATTTGACTGAACGTTAGAACCTGAGAAATCTTAATCTCGGATACATGATCCCTTTTGTCATTTTATTTTGTAGTAATGATAGATTTGAAGGCAGTAGCAATGTATATAGTAGAAATGTATAGAAAGCTTCTCTGTACCTTTTCCCCCAGTGATAAAAGACAGTCTTCTCAAACTCCTCTGAGAGTGGGCAGTTTTGAGTTGGGAAATAAAGGAACCTGGTAGAAAAGTAAGAAGGAGGCTTCCTGGTACAGCCTTCAATATTGATTGCATCTTAGCATCAAGAAGACAAAGGCCCTTACCACTGGGCCAGTGGGCAACATCATGATAGGACTGAAACTGTAAATTATGTCATTTTGCTTGCAACCACAGTTAATACCCTTGGTACCAGCAGTTAGGAGATAAGGAGATGTCTTGTTTTGGGCAAGTTGGCTGTCAGGGATCTCTCCACAATACTTAAGAGCAGTGATGTCATTTTGAAGACTGAGGTTTGCGAGATTCATGCCTTGCTCTTTTCAAGTACTTGCTATGCATCTGAGAGCTGGACATTGAATAAGGATGACAGAAGAAGAATTGATGCCTTTGAGTTGTGGTGTTTGAAAAGAGTATTGAATATCCCATGGACTGCCAAAAGAACAAACAAGTATGTCTTGGAAATGGTGCAGCCAGAGTGCTTCTTGGAAGCAAGGATGACAAAACTTTGTCTGTTATGCTAGAAGAGGTTATTTCTTGGAAAAAAGATACCATGCTTGGAAGGGTGGAGGGTGAGCAAAACAGAGGAAGACCCCCATTGAGATGGGTTGACACAGAGACTGTTGGAGATGATGAGGATGGCACAGGATAGGACGAGATTCAGGTCTGTGGTTCATAGGGTCACCATGATTCAGAGTCAACTCAGCGGCACCTAACAACAACAAAACAACATCAGGGACTTTGTTTATGGGTTTAGCAGATCCCCTAGCTGTTAGGAGGTGCATAGAAAATGCTAATTGTTCTGGGCTGCAGACATTCAGGCAATTGACCTCACAAGAACAGCTGTGCGGAGATGAAGAGAGTTGGACTGAAAAAGGAAACTGGAACAGGTGGCGTGGGGCCAAGGTACAGACTTGGGTAATGTCAGAAAAGGCTGGCTTATCCAATTTCAGGCAGCGCTGGTGGCCTAGTCCACAGGGAGTTGCATGGCTAAGCCACGCCATTCTGGCAACAATTTAAAGCCTCAGAAACCCAACGGAGGGTCAGCTTTGAGTCAACAGCAATGAGTTTATCGAATTTCACATGGCTTGGAGAGGAGTCGCTCTACTGCATGTCAGAGCCAAGCTGTGTAAAAGAGGAGTGCAAGAGGCATCTGACCTTCTCTGGCTTAATGAGAGAGAGAATCAAGGTTAACAGCCTCATACTAATTCTTAAA